ATAATAAGGAAAAATCACAGTAGTTCCATCAGGTTTACAGGAGTGAGAAAAGCAAAGCAGCTAGCAACCCTGCAGAGTAATCACTATGTATGTGTAACTTTTTAACAGGAAGGAACAGAGGAGGACACACGGACTACTATGCTGTTAGTGACAGGTTATTCAATGATTGTACAAAATGGTCTGCATTTCAATAAGGGCTGTGGGTCCTTCTGCATTATCTTAACTGACTGCAAAGCATTACATAGATGCTGCTCATATTTGCTGAGGGAAAGACCTTACTCCTTTAGGTGTCTAGATCTTCTAGAAGGAATACAAAAAACCTCAAGGAATGGGGCTATATTTAGGAAGTTGAATTATCTATTGGCACAACAAAAAGACCCTGCAAACTGAAGAAAGGGAGCTCATATGGGTATCTCAGGGGAGACAGCAATAAATGTATGCTCCTTTTCACTCATAAAATTACACAGCTGGGGAAATTATTTTTGTGACTAGATAGAGGAAAATTTTTCTTTTCTTCTAGTCTCCTTAGTAAGTCAGACTACAAAGTCAGCACCTTTTATTTTTGTTTGCAACTCACAGATTGGGTAATTTCTTGTGACAGAGCTAGTTTCTGGTCAAAGATGAGCAAACTCTAAGGCAGATAATTAATAACCAAGCATGTCCTCTATCTCCTGGGGTCAATGAAAGACTTTTTCTACTTCTATTAAGCATATGTGCTGAGTCCTCAATTAGGGCTTTGGACAAAGTGCTATCACAGAAGCCATTAGTGACACTACAACCAAGTTCTGATCTTGTGGTAAGAGCTCCCAACATCTGTTCCCCAAGATAAAAAAGTTGTTAAGCATTCAGCCCTGCCTCAAAAGTAAATAAAAGTTAATTGTACAACAGACATATAACTCTGCTTTATGCTAAAGAGCTCTTTTGCAAGTGCGTCGCATAAAGACAAAGCAAAAATGGAAACTGTTCCAGAAATTGCATAAATATAAGTACAAGTGACAAAGAGAGATCCATATGAGTGGAAAAGTTCATGGGCCAGTAAGAGAGCCTGAGGATTTGAAACAAGTATCACAGCCTGAGTCATGTTTTTATCACTGTATTTCACTGTGTTTTTCTTAATAGATACACAAATACCAGTTTAAAAAACCCAATTAATTGACTCTGACTTCTTATGGGAAGTGCCTCCTGTGTGCACGGGGCAGCACTAATGACAACACAGTGATGCTTGTTTGAGAATCTGGAAAGTTATAGATAAGAAAGGAAAGCTTAATAGCTTTCCTTTCTGGAACTTTCTGGGAAGTTATAGATAAGAAAGGCAGAGAAGATCAGGAGATTCAGTTGAGGGACATACACATATAATAAAAGAAGGCACACAGTTTGAGTCTAACAAGGTGAAGAGGAGATGTGGAAGATGTAAAGAGAGCAGTGTAAGTGGAAGATGTAAAGAATGACATGACCAAAGCAATTGACTGAGGAAGTAATCCCCACAATATCATTCCCAGATGAGCAAGGAAGATAGACTATGTCAGGGCCAACCAACAAACAGATGTAGCAGTTATCAAGAACAATTTGATTGAAGCCTCAGCTTTAGATATGCAATAGATAAGGCCAAAAGTTTAATACTGTATAAAGAGAAACTGCAAAACAGAGCTTGAGAATGACAGCCTAGAATGGGGTCTAAACTGCATGTGATGCCAGTTTGGCAAACAGTCAAGTTTTGTTTTCCAATCAAAGTCAGTGAGGTCTTATGAGGAACAACAAGTCCTGGAAGAAGGAAGAAAAAATTCATCATGTAAGTCAGGATGCCTGGGGACTAAGTCACAAGAGTTGCAAAGCATTGCACTGTGTGGTGTGAGATAGCTGGGACTGGGCTCCATAAGGAACAACTTCCCCCTCTGTTTTTCCACAGACTTGCAGTACAAACTTGGATTTAACCTTTAACAACTTTTTTTTTTTTTTTTTTTTTTAACATGAGATAGCCAGCCTCTTTTTGAGGTGCTCAGATAGAGCGCTTTTATGATGAACATCACAGGGAAGCCTGTATTTCACAGACACAAACTTTAGCTACCATTAGTTTTCGAAAAACAAACAGTGGTTTAAAATGGGACCTTTTCTGCCTATATGGACTTGAACAAGCACAAGAAGTCCTCAGCTTTCTGAGCTTATGCTATGCCTGCAAAGCACAAAGAGCTTTGAGCAGGCCAGCACATCTGTGCAACATGGCACAAAGACAATTATGCAGATCTCAGAATTATCATAGCTGTATCTGTGTAGTGCTGAGCCCAAACTGAGAATTTCCACCTCTCCCAAACCAATTTGCTCAGGCACAGCTACTTATGGATTAATCCACATTGCTTCTGGATCTAGAACTAGATCAGTCATTTGCTTACACACTATAAATATTCTTCCGTTTTAGAGCCACCATCTCCAAGAAGCCAACAGAAACAGCGAGATGAAACATAACCACTTGAGCTTAACAACTCCAGGTTCCAAAGGAAACTAAAAAACAAATCTTTTAGCCCTGTGTTCAAGTTAGATGTTTGTAAACAAATATCATCATCTGCTGCTCCAGCAGCATTAACTAGTTCCATCTAATTGGGGAGGGGGGGTGGGATAGTGTAAGGGTGGTGTAGCTTTTACCACCTGTAATTTTGTAGCTTTTAACATTGCTATGGCAAAATCTACCATTGATGGCAAATCAGCAGTTTCCTCTCTTATTTCCCAACCAATGCAACAATTTTCAAGTTCCAAAGGTCATTAACAGTTAAAGACAGCTGAACTACATAATTCTGTTAAATTCTTATCCTGTCTGCTCAAGCTTAAAAAGCCACACACTCTCAAAATGTGAACCTCCATATTTCAAGTTACTAATATTTTGGCATTTTTGGACAAAAAGTTGGTTTAAATAAAGAACATTTTAATGATTTCTCCCCAAGTAATGACAAGCACAAAATAAGAGACTGATGATCACTTTCCTATAGCTAAATTGGTTCCTCTGTATTACCAAGAGCAAAAGACGACTACTTAGCTCTGAAGACATTTTCTGTGGCATCTGACAGGCCTTTCTAAATAAAGGTCCTTATGCTCACTAGCAGAATTATCACTATAAAAGCAAGCACTCTTTAAATTCCAGCTGTCAGAAAATAATTGAATTGAAATCTCTCAAACTGCTTTGATACTGGCTGTGAGATGTCACATACATATTCAGCTGTGAGGAAGAGAAGATCACTCCAGATGGAAGAGCTCTGATTCAATGTCTTGATAGTGAAATAAGATCATTTTTGGAGAGCTTTTTCAACCCAACCCTGTTCTCACCAAATTGCTATGATCTGATAAAGGACCACTGCTATCCCAATAAGGAAGTTGGCTTTATTGCCCATGACATTTAAATAGCAAATGCACTTGCTTGCAGGAGGCAGCCAAAGGTCTACCTCAATAAGGCTTACAGATTCATGAGTATAAATATAACTTAAACCAGTACAACCACACACGGACACAGTTTGTGAGCAGCTTTGAGCCCCGTTCCAAGGCATTTCAGAGCTTGCTCTAGTGGCCAGAGGAGGATTATTGAAAAGTCTGCATCTTAAAGTAATAGTTGCATCTGTCACACATTAAAAGGAAATAAGTGTGTGCCTAGGGCTTGGAGGCATACAAACTGAAGACTGCTACAGACCTGGAACTTAAGCACTCAGTTTACAGTCACTGCTGTCCTGCATAGTGTGTGTTCTATGTCAGTGCACCATAAGGACTGTCATCCTTTCCTCCCTTTCACCTTCAAAAGCCATGACAGTTTAGCAATTGGTACACCTGCATTGACAAAAATATGACCCAAGTATCTTGCAACTGTTCTACATTATTGTATTATTATTGTGTACATACATATATATGTATGTACACACACTTCTATAGTATAGAATATATGTCAGATACTTAGGTTTCCTTGTGATGCATGACAGGCACATCAACTGTTAATATGATGGATATAAATAACTGTCGAGAATAAGAATATAATCACAATTCTGTTTAATGATGGTAGCATGAGTATGTTAAATTAGAGCAACCGGATACTGAGTCTCCAGGTGACTATACATTTTCTTTCAGTGGCTCCTGAATGAGGTTTAAACATAGGGAATGCAAACTGAAAGTCAGAAAACAAAGCTCAATTTTTAGCTGTGCAATTAATATGCTCTGTGGCTTTCACACATTTTGCCTTCTAGAATGCTTACCAAATATAAGGGCCAACAGGAGAGTTCTATAACTGCATATATTGAATGCTAGACTTTCTAGAATAGTGCCTCCTGGGAAGCTGCTCCTAGTCAACTAGTTCCTATCATTTTTATCAGCAGACCTACTCCAATGGCAACTTCCCCTCTTTCAACAAAAGGCTAACATGTAATACTTGTGACAAACAATATAGCTTAACCACGGTGTCTTTAGGACTTGTATGGAACACTTAGGGCACTTATTTCTATTTTGTTCTGCTCCTAAAAATCAGATGGATTTACTGGTGCTAAATGGCAGCAATGGGCTGTAGACATGCATCAGCACTACTTGGTACAGTGCCCTCTCCTAGTCATACAGCAGGAAATTGTCTGTCAGCACTCCCATTTGCAGAACACCTATTGCAATACAACGTATTCAATTTTGTTCAGGAACGATCAGCATCCTGCACAGACAGCTCTTATCTTTAGTTGTGTGTGTCTCAGTACAGGGTCAATTCTTTCACCAGCTTTGCTTACCAAGCCTCTTACAGGAGGCCCTTGCCACACATAAGGTTTTAATGAACTTGACCTTTTGAGGAACTCATGAGCAAGGCCACTCGAAGGCACTGTGTCTTTTTAGCCCAAGATGCTCAGTGGCACTTGTACTTTGCCTGGCCATCATTTTGTTACCGTTGCCGCCAATTACACTTCACATATTAACCATGCATCACAGCAGCCAGTTAGACTAAGAAAGAAACTAAAGCATCTTGTCTGTTCACAACAAACCACAACAGTTCTTACCTGAATCTCCTCAGTTTCATCCACCAAGAGGAAGCTCACAACTTTCTCTGTCATCTTCCTTCTTTTGGTCTCCTCATCCATCCCCTCCTCCTCTTCCTGTTCTTGGGCTTTGCCAGCATGGTACACAGTGACAGGATGCTTCCTTCTGTTCCCCCCAGCATGTGTTCTCTTCTGACACTCCACACAGAGGTTGATTTTGCACACCTGGCACCTCACTGCTGCTATCTGCCTTGAGCCCGTCATACTGGCATGCATTATGTTCCCATTGGCACCTTTGCAGGAGTCACAGTATGGGACATGGCCGGGTCTTATACGGGTCCGTTCATGGTTCCGCAACCTTTCTGGCTGATGCAGCTCTTCTTCACAACGCTGGCACTGCAAGCTCCTGCACTCATCGCACTCAAAGATTGCTTCATCTGTCCCACTGCAAACATAGCTTTCCTGGCACAGGAGTGTCGTGTTCTGTCCTTTCTCCACAGTTTGCGTGTGGGCACTCATCTTCAGGTTTCTTTAAAGCAACGTTTTTCCCTCCTGTTTCTGTTCCAAACAATGATATGTGTAAAAGTCAGTTCCAAATTTACATAAAAGAAAGACACACAAGAGGAATGTTGTCTATACTTAATTTTAAATAATGAATATATGTTTCTGTAAGATGCATACACTGACCTGCTTTGCAGGAAGAGTGTTGTTAACTGCTAATGAAGTTTTCTTCCTCCAAAATAAACTTAGACAGCGTGGCTGGTTTAATGTATTATTATACCCAAATGCTGGTATACGTTCTCTCTCTACTTAGCTGTTTAACGTACTGTCAGTGACGACAAAAAACCCCTGGCTGGCGTACTTCAACAGATACAGCAAGTATTTCCCTGAAGCTGAGAGCGGAGACAGCTGGTGACACAGAGACAAAAAAGGCATCAGAAATGCACAAATGCATATATATGTACACACACACACAAAAGGACCGTGTCAAGACTAGAAAATTCTCTGCTTTCACTCCACAGCTAAGCTCCTCCTTCAGAGAGTTCACAGTATTTATTTGCTGGGAATTTCCTGATGTGCTTCGCCAGATAAACAAAAATCCGCTCTCTTTGTGCGTTCCTTCTAGTAGCACTAGAAGACCATCACTACCGCGGTCAGGCTGACAGACGACGGATTTTTTTCCCTCTCCCTCTGCGCCCCAAGTTCAGAGAGCACAGCCCCGAGACCAGCGCCCGCCGAGGGCAGCCTGCGCACCCCGCCGCCGCCTTTGTCTCGACCGCTGCCTCCGGGCCGCGTCCCCTGCTCCCAGCCAGCGCGGAGCCCCTCGCGCTCCGGGATGACCCTCGGCACCCCCTCTCCCCGACACTCCCGCAGCCCCAGGCAAGCGCTGCCCCGCAGCGGCCGCACTTGTGGCTCGTCCGCCCGCGGGGGCTGCAGGCGGACCCCGCGACCCGCCCGCGGTTACGTAACGGCGGTGCCGGCCGGCGCCTCCCCCCGCGCCCAGACCTACCTGGGGCTGCGCCCGGCGCCGCGCCGGCCGGCCAGGAAGGGGGAAGCCCCCGGGTTCCTTCCGCCGAGCAGCGGCAGCGGGCGGGAGCCGCGGTGCGACCGGGAACAAAGGCGGCGCGGCACGGGGCGCCGCGAGCGGGGCTATTGTTTACAAGCCGGCGGCCACCTTTCTTCCCCTTCCTCCCGCCGGCACCCGGTGACTAAGGACTCGGGTCCCGGCCGCGGCTTCCTCCTCCCCCCCGTCCCCTGTGCGCCCGGGGGGGATCTCCCGGTTCTCCTCCCCCAGGGGTCGACCATGCAGTCGGGGCGCCCGGGGGAACTGAGCAGGGCAGGGCCGGCCAGGACCCGCGCCCCCTCCGCCCGCTCCCCTCGTTGTCAGCCGGGATCAGCTGATCGCGGGGAACTTCGGGGTTATTTTCTCACCGCGGAGACGGGAAGGCGGCGAGCTGAAGGCGGGGCGGCGCTGGCACGCCGGGAGCTGTAGTCCGGAGGCTGCACCGCCCCGGACTCGCCGCGCCGGCCGGGACGCGCGGCGCCCGTGGCGGGCAGGCGCGGTGCCGCGGCCCTCGCGGTGGAGCGGAGGTTTTCTGCTCCCCTCGTTTTGTTTTCGCCCCACTGTCTCACACCTGCCTGGGTTCCCCAAGGAGCTGCGCCGGAGGAGTGTAAACAGCCCCCAGCAGGGTTTAAAGGGATGAAAGTCGTAGCGAAGCTCTTTCCTCCCACCGCCTGGAGAACGACGAGACGGCTGCTCCCAGGCCTCCAGGTCTGGCAAATGAATGGATCACGGTGTCCACCTGAGAAGAGAGCACTTGGCACCCAAATCTCGTCTGCCCTCATGGGTTTAAATGAAGTCTCGACAAGGAGAGCCACTGGTCACTATCTCTGCAGCCTTTGTGGTTTCTTTCACGACTGTAGCTTCAACCTGTGGGTAAACAGCCATTATTTACATAGCTGAAAGAGATTGCAGGTTCAAAATAGAGGCACACACCTGCCAAGAAATGGCAGATTCACTGTCACAAACTGGAGCCATGGGAATGGGAGGTGAACTCCACACAGAGATGGTCAAAGAAACCACTCAGTGAGGAAGGACCTTGGCCAGTAGTGGCTCCAACCCCTTGTTGGTTCATGGGGTGCTACAAGAAAATAGCCAGTTATTTTTCATGGGCTGATTTAGATAACATGCAAAAATATTTTTGTTGTAGCACAGCCAGTGCACAGGCAATTTCTCTTATAAAGTAACAATAGTCTTCAGCTGGATGTTTGGATCAAATGCTAGTGGTTACTTCACCAGAGGAGGGACATGCACTGTTTCCCTTCAGTGGACATTACATGCTGATAACCACTAACAGACAGTGCCCCGTCCTTTGGTCCCTTGCTTCAGTTTTAGCTAAACAGTTTCAAAAGGGAGCCAAATTACAAAACTGGATATCCAGGTAGAAGGCACTGATTGCGAGTTTACCTTTGAAGTATCATTTCACAAAACGGAGTCAACAGGTCCAATTACTGTGAAAATGAGGCATCAATGAATTTTCTAACACAAGGAGTGACTGAGGCCCTCTCAGAATTAAAGTGTATTGCTGAAGTACTATCATTATACTAGATATAATATATATCTATATATCTATTTGTGTAGGCATGTTTATGATTTAATTATTTCTTTTATGCAGCTTAGTGATGATGAATGACTGAAGACTGGCACAGTAACTCTCTTCTGTGTTCTCTTTCATGCTGTTACAATAATGTATTTTCACTCGGTATTTTGCATAAAAGATTAATTTAAGAGATTGATAAAATAGACTGACATCTATAAGAATAAAGTTTTGGTGAACCAAATGTCTTCAGACTGAAAAAATCCTGAATAATGAATATAAATAATAAATATGAGGTAGAAACTTATTAAATCTCACAGTGCTATCTAGAGGGGCCAAGGAAAGAGATCAATGAGTCTGGCATCTAAGGCATCTTCCTCTAAGTCTGTCTATTTGTACTGGTAATGTGATAGAGGGAGCAATTAAAGGATATGAGGAAGGGAAGAAAAAATGCATATAAAATGTTTAAAATACATAGTCTAGAAACAATGGGACCCCTGTACCCTGAGGTGCTGTCTAACATTTTTGGGATGATTTCTCATGTTTGAAATACAAGACAATTGGCAGACAAAAAGAGCACCTCTTAATTTTAACCTTAATATTAAAAGCCATGTACTGAAACCTAAAGAAAGTGAACTGTGATCAGTATCTGGAAAAGGGATCTCAGTTGCATAACTGTAAGGCAGGAAGATAATACAGGCACTAGGGGTGGGTAATTCTAAAATCCTATAGCAGAAAGAGTAAAGACAGGAAAGTAACTACATTTACTGGATGCTTCTGCTGCTATTCTTCCTTGATTAAGAAGGATACAGAAGGCTACAGCTGATTTGTGTAACAAGAATAAATGCAAAATAGCCTATTTCTTTGGCTAAAAAACCTGATGAACGTGTACATGAGCAAAGCCTTTGCAATGTTTCCTGTAAATAAAAACTTATTACAGCAGTACATATCAGTTTGGGATTCACATTTCTTTTTTAAGCTGAGCTGTTGTCTGAGACAACAACACAGAGAAGATTCTGAACATTTTTGTTATGCCCTTTCTCTTTTCCTTGGTTTTCTTAGGTATGCTTCTAAATTATTTAAATAGTAACAGTAGTCAGTATTGTAGTCACTAAATTTGTATTCGTTTGAGGGAGATATGCCAGCTGTTTGGAATAAGCTGTAATTAAAAGTAAAAATGCTGCTTCTGGTGGGGGGAAAAATTACATTCAAACTTGGAAGTATTTCTTAAATCTCCTATTGCTAAAATATTTACCCTTACACATCATCTTGTAAAGCAAGGTGATGAACAGCACCTTAGTTCCAACAGTTGTTGACTGTTCAGTAGCACGTATGACATCAGCCAGACAGTTTTAATCTGCTTTGTACTGAAGAAGTCAGTCCACAGGTGGAGATTTTGTCATTGGATTCTTGTCTTTTGAGCACTTTTCTTTAAGCAATGGAAAATACAACACTTTTTTTTCCTTAACTAATCCAACATTTTTTAAACAGCTTTATGCATATGTTCATTTTGTGGTCTACCTCATAATAACCTGTAAGATCACGTTCCTGTCATTCATAGTCACTTCCTTTTTCCACTTGCAACTCATTTCCACCAGTGTTGTAACTACAGCAATTACTGTCTTGCATGTCATGTTGAAAATTATCTCTTAATGTAGTCTAAATGCTGAAAGTAGGTTAGAGAAACTACCAGCTGTAGATGCCCAACAGCACAGTGACGTCTTTCTGATGAGCTTACAGCTGCCTAAGACACCACTCTTTTTGCTGTGTAAATCCTTAGGTCTTTTACAGCACACAGAAGCTTCCATGAAAGCCGGCTGCATCCCAAACAATGAGGGCAGGTCGAGGGAGGGGATTCTCTGCCTGCGGTACAGCCCGTCCCGACCACCGTCACGGGCAGGTCGCAGCTCAGCCCGGCCTAAGTGTCTGGCTGAGGGGGCCATGACGGCTGACAGACGGGCAAGGCTCTCCACAGACGGAGGTTTGCCGGAGGCTTTCCAGAACCTCCAGTCCGCCCTAGCCCCCACCGGCGGCACTTGACCTCGACATGGCGGAGCTCCGAGCCGGGTCACGGCCCCGCGCCGCCCGCCGCACTAAAGATGGCGGCAGCGCGCATGCCCCTTGGCCGCCCCCGGCCCTTCTGCCCGCCGCCGCTCTATGGTCGGCCGCGGTACTGCCTGGGCGCGAGCGGGGGCGCTCTGGCACGGCCGCCTCTGTGGTGGCGCGGCGCGGTGCACGCCGGGCCGCTGGCGGAAGAGGAGGGTCACATGACCCCGCGCGGCGCGGCGGCAGCGGCTCGGCGCGGTGTGTTCGCGGCCTAGCGGGGCCTCAGCTGGCCCAGCGCCTCCCCCGCGCCATCCCCGCCCCGCTCCGCAGCCGAGGGGTGAGAACCGAGGGGCTGCGGGGGGAAGAGGGAGGCAGGGAGGGAGGGCACGCGGCGGTGGCGTCCCGGCCGCCCGCTGGGCGGAGGCGCGGCCGGGACCGGGCCGAGGCCGCTGGGCCGCGGCGGGCGCTCGCTGGGGAGGCGGCTCGGGCCTGCACGGGGCGTGGAACGGGCGAGCGGCCTCGGGGCGCTGCTCGCGAGGCCCGTTCGCTTCCTCTCCCGCTGGGACGCCTAGGAGTCCATTCCGCCGGCCCCGGCGGGAGGTTCGGGAGCGGCCCCGCGGGAAGCGAGGGGAGCCCGTCGCACGGCCGGGACCGGAGCTGCGCGGAGCTTTGCTGGCGCCCGACGCTGCTCGCCGGGCCCGGCCGCCTGGGACTGTGGGTGGGATTTTTACTTTTGCGCGTCGGGGAAACCGATCACGCTAGGAAACGCGATATATTGCGACAAGGAAGGTATTGTCCTTACTGTGGATTGGCGTGGTCATCTTAAAACACGCGTTAGCAGGTCGTGCGTAAAATAATCAAGGGTGATTCATCCGTGTCAGGAGCCGTTGTGATGTGCACACGACACGTTTTTCATATGATGTCTTTTTCCGTTGAAGAAAAAGACCTTTGTTTGCCTGAAGGAGAGGTTTTTTTTTGTTTCAACACAGGGAATATCCTGAACGCAACTAATGGTTTGTTATTTCTCTTTTTTTTTTTTTTTTTTTTGGTCGTTAACGGCCTTAGAGAAAGCGAGGTCTCAAAAGTTTTGTATTTCTTAGCCCATTCAGACGAAAATACACACACACTGAATTTTAGTCCTTTTTTTGTGTCTGGCAGGAAAGCATTATTTCAGGTATTGCATCAGCATTTATGGGGTGAGTTCAGAGCAAATTAAAAGGAAGAATAGAAGAGTTTCTTATTTTACCTGTGAAGGAGTGGCATTGATCAGAGTGCTTTGCATTTTCTTGTTTCTCTGCCTCTGAGTGCTCATTCATGTAAGTGTTGTAATGTCACAGCCATGTTTCTGTTTCGGGAAAAGTCAATGGGCAAGTTAGAATGGAAAGTCACTTACTTCACCAACCAGGGCTTTATATGAGTGCAGAGGCACAGAATTAGGAATTAAATATCTTAAAGTTCTGATTACATACTTAATGGACCACTACTTACAGGGCTTTTGGACTGAGTCTTTGGTTGAGATAAACACGTTGCTTTTTGTGTTGCTTCATAATAACAGTGTGGGATGCAGCTATTCCACAGCAGTTACTAAACTCTTTCTAGATCACCTCTGAAAAACAAGCTAGAGCAAATACTAGTATTTTTGTTCTTAGCATAGGAAATCTATGATATATTTTATCTCTCCCCGATGTCTTTGTGTTTAACATTTAAATCTTGCTTTGCTTGCAGGCCATTTTGGAGAAAACTGTAGGGGTCTGAGAAAGCAGTCATTTTCACTGAGGAAACCGGTTGGCTTGGAATAGAAGATTTTTCTTTTAGGGAGCTTTTTTTGATGACAAGTAATAATATAAACAGCACCTTTGTTGGGTGACAAACTACGAGATTACTTTTATAATGGAATGACTTAAATATCCACCCATTGTGTGGAGACCAATACACAAACCTGTGTGATAGTACAGACTTTAACAGACGGGTTTGTTGCATATGTTTTCTTCAGCCTGCACAGCTGTTTTGTGCAACTTATTCTAGACTAAGGGTACAGACTGTTTGTGGCGCAGAACAGGTGTTTTGGGAAAATACTGAAAGTATTTCAATAAGTTAAAATCAGATAAAATTAAATCAAACTAGATCAGCCATACTGTCACTGTTGCTATGACACCTCATGTATGTATTCCTAAAACAGGTGAAGTTTATTTGTGCATTAAGACTTGAGGGGTTTTGCAGTCAGTTTTAACTTTGTTTGGTGTAACAGTAGTAAGTATTGTGACTGGTTGCTTCATGGGGAACTTCAGTGCTTTGAAATCGGTTAAGATGTTTTGCAACTTTCTAAGTAAATAAAACTTTTACACATAAAGTTTCTGTAATGTAAACAGAGATACTAATATAAATCCTGTAACACTGGTAGAATTGACACTGCCCTGACTAGATGATGGAATTGTCAATTTAAAATGCATTCGTTACCAGCAATTTTTATTGAGTTTATGTTCTGCTTATGGCATATCTCTTCACCCCTGTTTAAAAAAATGGGGTCAGTAAAACAGAAGGCTAAAAAAATACTATGATTTAAAAAGAAATTACTGCGTTAACAGTGCAGCCAGACCAGCACAATATCAGTCCCCTCTTATTGGGACTTCTGGGAGTCAGAGATTATAAAGAAGAACAGGGCAGCAGTGTCTGGGTGATGGTGATCCTTGTTTTGTAGTAGTTTTGAGTTCTGTGTGAACTCACACATTTGATTCCAGCCCTAAGGTGAGATCTCTGCGTTTGCTTAGTTGTAAATCAGAGCCAATGTGCTCCTAGTGGACAGAGCTCCATCTCAGCAGGGATCTCACCATGACGGGATTAACTAATCTCAATGGATTTTACCAAACCTTAGAACCTATGGCTATATCCCTGTACTCTCTCCAGGTTTCAGGAGATGGGTGCAGATTGCTCTGCATGTTGCTTGATTCCACCAGGACTTTAGTCAGAAGTGCAGTGTAGAAAGCAGCTGAGTTCCTTCTGGGCCAAAGTTGAACCTGGAATATTATAGCTGTGTTTATGTAGCACTTGCCTTCGTAGCTCAGGCTGTTTTTGAGCTGGGTCTGCATAGAGTAAACTTAGGTGTTTTGCCATCCATTATGTAATTAATCTGCAGCTTAGAGAAATGGCCCAAGGCTAATAAAGTGTTCACCTGTGTTACTGTGTTCACTGGATCAAAGGTGTGCTCTTGAAGGCAGTCTCACAGTCATCATGACTTAGGAAGTTTATTTCATATTGGTTTGTGCTATTCTAGTGGATAAGCTAAATTCCTTTTGGATGAAAATATATTCAAAAATGCACTCATACCTACAAACTGGCATTTGTTTTAGTGGGGTGGGCCTCCCCAAAACATGTAGTATAGACATTAGTCTTAACTCCCATTAATTTTGTTTCACAGACTTGTTCCCATTGTAATGCTTGCTGGCACAGACACAGCCTAAACTGACTGCACTTTGAGTCTGAGATGTGACATAAATCCATCATTTCGGGAGAGAAAAATGTCGTTATTTCAGTCTTTTGAGTGGTATCAGGCCAATTGATCACTGCTTTTCTTCCTCCTGTATTTTTGTGACCACTGTAACATTGACACAAGTTAAACTCGTGCTTAGAGAGCTGCTAGTTAAACTGCAGCTGTGAAGAATGCTGCTTACATTCAGTTTCACTAAAGGCTATACTTCCTAAGTCAGTTTTAAAAATATGTCAGGACTGTTAAGTTTCTTACTTAGACATTTGAATAAATTGGGGAAGTTGGAAGATCACCGTGTACATTCCAGAGGTTATAGTAAATGTATCAGAAATTGATCACTGAACTGTACTGGTGAGGTAGGAGGACAGTCTGCAGAGAAGTTCAAGGTACTGTTCCTGACATGTCTGCAAGTGTATTCTACATAGATCCAGCTTAGCATCTCCTCAATTTTCATACCTAACCTTTGATTTGTATTTGCTTAGAAATTTGATACAGAGCCCCTCTGCCTGTTGGAAGAGGATCTACATTTTTGGTGTGTTCTCTAGCTCCTGACAGAAAATAGTGTTGTGCAGTTCCCTTCATTGTAGCATCTTGGATGCATCTTCCTCCCTTGTCCAGATCTCACACTTCTCCATTGAGCAGTTTCACTCCAGGTGTCTCGATCCTCACAGCTTTCATAACAGAAACAGAATTAAACCGTTCTCTCTGCTGCTTTCACATTAGCAGTTACACAGAGTAGTGAGAAAGAGACCAAGGCTTTCCTTAGTTCTAGTTTTGATCTTAAATGCCACAGGCAGCAGAGTTGCTAGGATTGGTCCATGTAAGAATTAAGTCAGTAACAGGGCAGCTTTCTAGCTGCTGTGAAAATAGTTGTACAGATATGGGGAGTGGGGGGAGAAAGAAGGAAGTGCTTTGAATTGGACTGGTGAAGCACAGTGTATAACAGTGCTTCATCTGCCCAAAAGATTGAAAGACTTAAGTTTGTTCTCTTCTTGCTGCCTTTCTCCTTTTATGCAGCAACAGTAACTTTGTTGACTGCTAAATCTTTGGTTTTTTAATTTAAATTATAAAAAAACCCAAGCAAACAGTTCCTTCTCTGTGCATATTTAACATCCACTGGCTATGGTATGTTTCAGCATCTTTTAATTCAAAGAATTGATTCACTTCTTAGTCCCCAGGCTTTTTTTGTTGGCATGTCCAAAATGAGGGCTCAGATAAAGTGCTTATCAGAGCGAGAGAAGGGATTGCACCTACAGGCAGCCTGGAAAATTACTTCCCCAGTTATTCTTACATGTTTTACAGACCATGCATTAACATCGGGTGGACCTCTGATGGTGCAACTCTGTTGTAGCCTGTTTAGAACCATTTCAGACCCAGTAGCTTATTGTTTGTACCACCTGCCCCAAGACAGCTTTGAATTTTATCCAGTTGTTTATCAGCTTGAAATGTAGGTAAGAACTGAGGGCCTTAAAGATCTTAGTTTTGTGGTTTTTCTGTTGGCTATTTTTTTTTTTTTTTGCGTATGAAAGTTTCAAGTAGTGATACCCAGGCAGATAAGGGAGTTCTATTCCCTTCCACACCATACAAGTTCCAGATTCTAGATGAATGTCAGCTGATGTACGCGTAGTCTGACGAGACAATAAGCAACTGTTTTAAAAATAAAATGGCATACATATTTGCTGCTTTTTTTTGTCTATACAGTTTTAAAAATTCAGGAATTGCAGAAAGGAAATGTGTTCTTAGGCATATGGATTTTAAAATGGAGGGGAGGTTTTATGTTTATTAGATTGCATAAAAGTGTTATTGAACTGTTGGAAAAATGTTAGCATTTGCTCTCTTATTTCTTCTGCCATCTTAGACCTTGTGTCACAGGAGTGTTCACTGTTTTCCCTCTGAGATATTGATAAATGCCCTTAGGGGTCAATGAATGCCCTCATCACATACCTCGTGTAGATGTAAATGTTTCCTTGGATGAATTATGTGCTAGGGTTATATATGTGTTCTTAGACCAGAATAAGTAAGTTCTGGTGTTAGAAGGTATTACCTAATACATCTGGCTTTCTCTTTCATCCTTTCCAGTCCGCTATATATATTTATCTCTCATAGTTGTTTCTGGAATATGAGGGAATAAAGTTTTTGTATGTGGTTCTGTTATTAGAATTTTTTACATTTTTCATATGTACCTGTTATTATGGTAGAGTACTGATACAGTCTTTTACTTCTAGTATGTAAGACTAATGGCTTGCTCTTGAACAAGTCTGGAAGGTACATCTGTCTGAGGAAAACTTGTTTTCCATTCTTTGTGTGTTCAGTGCCATTGTGTTCCTGGCTTGAAGAAAGCATGTTACAATCTACAGTTCTATTGTATGTATCAGGGTTTTGCTTACCATAACTGTTTCTCCAGACAGCCTTGCATCAGTTTTGACTCATGGTTGCCTGCTTGGAAAGCAGTGGCAGTGCAGATCTGACACTGTAGGTTGTAAGGCATGCTGTAGAGTCCAATGAGAAACACAGACGTTTCTGCTGACAGCTTACTGGGTTCTTGTCACTTGTGGTACTGTGTCTTCGTGATTCATATCCACATGATCTACTGTGTGTGAACTTCTCCAATGCTTCCTCACTGCAGTGTGAATGTAGGTATATGCTCAGCAGTAATATTGTGGCCAGTTTTGATTTTTTTTAGAACCGAGGGCCAGCCTTCTGTGAAGACTTGACTGTGTAAGATTACTGAAACAATACTGGAAGCAAGAGTGCATACCTTAGTTGTATTAAGTTGTGTATACACTAAGTTTTATCTTGAGTGTTTTATGACTGGGTGGTCTCTGTTTCAGGGTCAGTAATACGCATTTAAAATAATAATCTGAACAGAAAATAGTGTTTGAAATTATCTTTACTCTTTATGGGAGCATGTTGACACTCAGCTCATGGGCTGATGTCCAAGTTGTGCACTAGGAGATTTGTGGACTGGGAAGTTAAAAATAGATCACAGAACCCTCTTTCAAGCTTTTAACTCTCTCTCTGCTGGGATTTGAGAATCTCCCCAGTGTTATCTTAACTACAACTCACATTAATGCTGAGCATTGCAATGTCCCAGTTCTTTCCGGTGTCTTGTTCTACAGTTGTATTGTGTGTGATCACTTCTTGTACAACAGAACTACTTGCTTAATTGAAAATGTGTTACAAGATCAGTTTTGCTTTCTAATACTGCAAAGATAGCTTTATTTTAAAGAAACTGTACAAACTGTTAAATGGTCTTCATTGGTTTGAGGAGTTAGATATAGCTTTGTTTTTCTCTTCATTCTGAAACCCTTCCTTAGAAGTGCTGTTTTTAATTGAGAAAGAAGACTTCTGCTACATCTCTAACATAATGAATAGTTGGGGGGAAAAAAAGTTGAAAAAATTAGTTTTAATTTGTAGTTGAATGTCCATATAAAAATTTTAAATAATTATGAACATTTACCACTTCACTGCTTTTGTAATTCACATTTGGAAACTGACTAGTACAAGTTTCCTTTTCTGTCTTTTTTATAGATTGTGACTTCAAGAATGTCTTTTCCACCTCATTTGAATCGCCCTCCTATGGGAATCCCAACGCTTCCCCCTGGGATCCCACCTCCACAGTTTCCTGGTTTTCCTCCACCTGTACCTCCTGGTAAGTTATATTAATATGTGGAAGTATTGTAGAATTTAATTTCTTTATATTATTCTGAACTCCTTTAAAGGCTAGTAACTTTAGTAAATAATATATCTCGGTAACTCTGATTTGTGTACATTGCAGTCATGTTTCTAGTTTTCCCACAGATCATCTTGTGAGCAAGCTCCTTTTGGTCTACCAAAAATTGTTTACTTTTGACTAGAAATGAAATACTGGACTTTTCTTGAGCCTTTATTCAAGACTGAAGCTTTGTGGCAGTTTCTGTTTATGTTAGGTGTTCCTAAGCCACTGTTTTCACAGTAATCCATTGTAGTAGCCTTTGGAAGCTCTTGGGTATGCTGAGTACATGTAATGTGAAAATAGAGGAGTAACTTTCAGAGAAGGTCCAACTTTTGAGTTGTTTTTCTCAATTTTAGTGTCCCACTTTCTTTTGTTTTGCTTCCTAAATTCTTTTGTCCAAACATCTTGCAAATTTACAGTTAGTCTTATAATTTCTTCTGATCTTCCCAAAATTATTCCTACCTTTTTTATTTGTTCGTATGTAGATCAACCTCTGCTTTTTGAGTTGAGATTTTAACTTGTTGGTCTGGAGCAATTTGCTTTCTGTACATTGTGAGTATACATAATGATGACTTGAGGTTGGAAGCCATAGAGCAAGTGGGAGAGGAGAAAGCATCAGAGAATTGCCTCTTCAGAATTCATCACAAGAGCTGCAGAAAATAACTCCTGTCTTGTCTATATTGTCTTAAACTGTGTTGTACAGGATTGTTTTATAGATTATATTGGCATTCAAAAAACAGATGGTTGAACTATAAAAAGTTTTCTGCCCATCATTTATCAGGCTAATCTTTATTTGCATTAATTTTTCTAAACATTTTTCTTGAGAACCGTAAGATGTTACCTATTTCTGATAAAGGCAGAGTTGCTTAGATAGCATCCTGCCATCAAAAATTTCAGGTTGAATTTTAAAATCATGCCTCTTATTTTTCCTAGCTCCAGTTCATGTATACTACTGTATAAAACACCAGATACTTTAAAAAAATCTTTCTGAAATATATTTTAAAATGCCTGTTATAATTTTTGGCTCTGAACATTTTGCTTCTTAGCGTGTGTGACAAAGATCTTTTTGTTCTCTTGTTGTGTTTAAATAGTCTCAGTATTACGAATCTGCATAGTATGTAGAGTGGAGAAGGCTGGTATTGGGTAAAAATAAAACTTTTGTCTGCATAAGAGAAACATGATTTGCTTGCCTGTGCAGACAACATATTTTGACTTGTAGAGGATATGGATCTCACTTCTTAGTATAAGCACATCAGTAGAGCTGAAAATACCACAGAGATTTTATGAAATCTGCTCTGAATTTAGTCCCTATGTAACATCACAATTTTAGCAACTTATAATATTATCTTTAGCTAGCTGTTTGGTCAAAAATTCATGTCTTAGTTACCTCAGCCTGTAATTTTTTGAGGAGTTTCAGCTGGAGTAGTTTCCTTCCATTATAATGAAGTTAGGAAAAGTGGTTTGCTTTGCTTAAAAATACAGTTGCTAAAAACAGAAAGTTCTAGCATTTCCCAATATTAGTGTGGAAGATTTGATAAGGAGGTGATTCTGATAAATCTCTGAAGATTACTGGATACCACTAAGGTGTAAAAAACCCCATTTTGCATGCCGGAAATTCTGTAGTAGGTCAGACCTGCAGTCCATATAGGCTGATGCATTGTGTGGGCAGTGGGGCTAGAAGGCAGTACTTAGGGTGGCCATGTATCCCTGTCTGCTCTCTGAGTCTGTTGCTTCATACATTGGTAGTGTTAGGGATCTTAGATCTGGTTGTTCTTTGTCTTTTTCTGGACCTGTCATTTATGAACATTTTAGAATTTTTTACTCTCTTAGTCTCTGTCACCTCTTAAACCAAATTTGAAAAGTTCATTAACTGCTGTGAAAAGTGCTATTCTATTACTCTTAAGTCTGTCTTTAAACTCGCTGCCTACTCAGTGTCTCCTTGCTGCCCCGGTTCTGATGTGGGAGTCGGGCGAGGTGAGTTCAGTGGTTCTGTACACGTCAGCCGCGTTCCATACCTTGCAAACCTCCACACTTGAAAAGTCTCGGAGTGTGCAGCCTTTCCTATTGAAGCAGCTGCTTCACCAGTGAAGTCATGTAGGTGTTGTTCTCTGAGGCTGGGCAGCCTTGGGTTGCAGAGACCAGGTCTGTAGGCCTTAGTCAAAACTGTAGGTGCACCAAGCTTTTCTGTAGCAGCTAAATGATGCATTTGTGGTCATTATGTTTCCTGATGATGCCCAATATTTCAGTGGATTTTTGTGGCTTCTGCTGAACATTGGGCAGATAGTTTCATAGAATTGTCAGTGATAACACAAGTGTGTTTGCTGAGCTGTAACTTTAAAAGCCATTGTGATAATTATATTAATTATAGGGCTGCACAACCAGTGTTGCTTGGGAGTAGTTGCTACAGCCTGTGAGATGCTGTGGTGTATTGAAACAGAGAATATTGGAGAGCAATACAGTTTTGATTGTCTGAATGATTTGAAGGAATAAGAGATAGAATGACCTTAATATGAAGGGACTGAGGAAGAGAATTGAGAGCTGGAGAAAATAAAAACATAAATAAAGCAAAACCAGAGTGGATGAGGAAAAAACTGGAAAGGATGTCTGAGGAGAAGTGTTTTAAGACTAAACACTATAGAAAGTGGGGGAACAAGTCATGGACCAGTAGGTTGCAGAAGTTTGTTTAGTGTTTTCCGAATACAACAGTAAGGGAAGGATTGAGAGGGAAAAAACAGTGGAGGTTTGTAGAATAAAAAAAAAGGGAGATGTAGGATCCCTGTGAAGAACATGAGATTGACCTCACTGTTCTCAAGTCTCAGTATGTCTGCTGACCAACATGTAGTTTTGATGAAATCCATTCACTTAATATATTTCACCTCTAGCAGTTGGCGTGTAAAGACAAAGAGCCTTTCTTATGATCAAATATTGGCTCATGAAAGTGTTTAAAGCTGCCAGTGAATTTGGTAGTGTAAAAGAGGTATTGTGTGGTTTCATTTGATTAAGTATTAATTTAAAATAGTAATTATTATGAATTAATGAATATTATTAAAATTCTGTATTGTTCTAAATTAGGTGTTGGAGACTGCCAAGTGAAGTATTCAGCAGCTTCTCAATAGAGGTTTTTTATGCTGCCTTTATTAAGCTATTCTATAAATAATGGTGTGAAGCCTGGTGCCATTCTCTACAGGACCTCATCCCTAAAGCCATGTAAAAAAACCATTGTGCTGTGGGAGTTGTGTAAGCTGGGAACGAGATCATCTGTAGGGCATCATCTGCCTTTGCTCTCAGGAATTCCCTACCTCACCCCACTGTCTTCTAGAACAATATTGTGGCTTGAATATGCTCTGAAAATAGATATGTATGTGACAAAGTTGAAATGGTAGAAAGTGACCAGGTTGCCTATATTATATGTACTTCAGTGGAATGCTTGAGGAATTGCTGGTAATCAGTACTGTGAAATTCTTATTGACCAAAATTGCTGTCTAGTTTCAAGATCATGTCTGCAGTGATTCCATTTGTATTCATCAGTTCTTAACAGGGCAGACTAATATTAATGTATTGTCTTTCTCAGGGACCCCTATGATTCCTGTACCAATGGGCATCATGGCTCCTGCTCCAACTGTAAGTATTACAGTAGGCATGAGATTATAGCCAAATAAAATTGAGAGTAAAACTTAGTATATGTGTTTTTGTTTTGCTCTATTCTGTCAGAATTCTACTATGGAAGAGAATGCTTAATTTTAAATGCAACTATAATGCAAATGTTATGCTAATTTCTGACCGAGACAAAGTTTGAAGTAATATCTGGAGCCACCAGCTGCAGAGGTGAAGCAATTATTGTTCTTGCAAGAAGACATACTTCTCTCAAATACAGTGAACAGAATACAGTGAAAGGTTTTGCCTTTGGACCGTGTGTGCTCTTCCTGTGCAGTACAGTTAGATCATGGAGATTCCAGGTCTCTTACTGTGGAGGTTGTAGCCCTGACATAGTACCCTGGAGGCATTACCTCATCCAGGTTTATAAGGCTATCACACAGCACTGCTGGGTTGTCCAAAAACGTGTGATTTGACAAGCTTACAGATAAGCTTGCTGTCTCCATGTTGCAGGAAAAGGAATAGATGTAATATCCATCTGTGGAAAAGCAAATGAAAGGTTTCTTTGTCTGTCTTAAAAATTTCAAGTTGGAAGGGAGGTTTATGATTTTTGGGTGGAAAAAAGTGCACTTTAAAATACAAAAGTTACTTCTTGACTTCAAGGTGAGTTACCATTTGTGCAATTTTGCAGAAGTGAAATCTCCCCAAAATACAGAATTTTTGGATAGCTTTTATTATCTCCTGCTGGAGGATATGTTCATGGTAACCAGTGTGTTTAAGACAGAGATACTGAAACAAATTTCTTTCTCAGTTTTGTGATTAAAATAACTTTTAGTAAGTGATACTTCTGGAAAGGTGTTCTGAGAAGAGAAACTGTTGAACTTTAGGTGAAAGAAGTGTAGCAAAATAGAGCAGATGATCCTGCCTATCTTTGTAGAGTTAATTTACAGATATTTGCTCCTTAACCTAAAGAGGCTTTGCGGTGTGTGGTTATTAAATAAAGCAGTAGTGTTTATTCACTGTGTGGAAGCTTTAAGATCATGTGTCCATTGAAGCCTTTGAGCCAGAGTTACTTTTCTATTTACAGCTTGGTTTTTACACTATTAGGTGAGGTAATTCAACTTCCAGTGACTCAAACATTGCAAACTTGTTATATGTAGGAGAAATAATACCTAATGTTACTGTATGCTCACCTTGAGACCTCCAGTGGCTGTGTTCAGTTATCTTTTATCCAGAAAATGGCCGTCTTTTTTTGTGTTGTAGAAAGTATTAAAGCCTGAACTGCTTATTGGTTCTTACTCCATAAGCCTAAACGAGGTTCGTATGAAAATTCAAATTTTAAATAAGTGTGCATCCCCAAGTCTCATGTCTTACTGATTTAAATAAAAAACCGAACCAGTCCAATGCTTATTTTATAACTTCTCTTCCTCTTTACAGGTGTTAGTTCCTACCACAGTGTCTATGGTTGGAAAACATTTGGGAGTCAGAAAAGACCATCCTGGCTTAAAGAACAAAGAAAATGATGAAAACTGCGGTCCCACTACTACTGTTTTTGTAGGGAACATTTCAGAGAAGGCCTCAGACATGCTCATACGGCAGCTCCTAGCAGTAAGTACAGTGGACTGCTGATTAAATTTCGTCCCTGGCTGATGAATAAAGGACCCACAAGCAATGTATTGAAACTTAAAGCAGAATTATTCCCACTCTCTGGAATAGCAGCCCACTATGCCTGAGTCCAGTAATGGAGAGTACGGCTTTTTTCCACTGTAGATGTCTTTGAATATAGATGTATTTTATTTCCAGTAGAATTTACCCTGTTTTAATTTTTATAATATTTTGCAAAAACTGGTTACGTTTCTGTAATGTTTTGAATATAATAGTTAATTATACTTCTCTTAATTGCAGAAATGTGGTTTGGTTTTGAGTTGGAAGAGAGTGCAAGGGGCATCTGGAAAACTTCAAGGTAACTGTTCATGCTTTTCAAAATCTCTAGATATACGCTTGTTTTTATTAGCTGGCAGCATTTTAATATCATGACACGTTGCTATTCTTAATCATTTTACATTTTAAGATGGTGTAATATGGTAGCTGCGAAATGCTTTCTAGTAAAGGGCTAATATTTTCTGTAATTGAGAATAAAATAATATAATTGAGAATGGTCAAATGGAAAAATGTCTTGGGAGCCTAGTTTGCTTGCCTTTCTTTTCTGAAATTGAATGATTTTATAGACTATTTTTGAGAAAGCTTTGTCAATTTGGACTTAGCCCCCAAAGGAAGATACTATTCTAACACTTTTACAAGTCATTTCCAATAATATGTATTGTTCTTCTCTGTGAAGGATGTTTTCCTGATGTAAAATTTACCTTTCCTATTGTCAAGTTGAACTGATTTAATTTTTGTGACCTTTCCAAAGTGACTGCAGGAAACAATTTTGGTTACAATTTTTTTGCTGTGTTTTTGTATCTTGCTAGGTTTGTGGGGTTTTTTTTCTTTTTAAGGATGTAGTTCAGTTCCTTCAGTTTTTTAATATCTCACACTTTTTTTATTTTGCTGTCAAAAATGTTTTTCTCATTTAACACTTTTATGTAACTGTTGTGAAGAACCTAGTTTGAAATATTTGAAAGTTTGAGACCCTTCCCTCTAGTTTAACAATGAGCTATTGATTGATGCCCTTGGTCGTCAGACAATTGCAAATCCACCTGAGATGTCATCATATAAACTGAATTTCTTAGTTAAGACAAATATGTCAAAAGCTTTACAAACACAATCATAGAGTAGTTTGAGTTGGAAGGGACCTTTTAAAGTTTATCTAGTTCAACCCCCTTTGAAGGGCAGGAACATCTTCAACTAGATAAGGTTGTTCAGAGCCCCATCCAACCTGACCATGGAAGTTAGGATGGAACATCTACAATGTGTGTACTGGTTCCATCTTATTTATTGGACTGTTAATTATATCACAGATGAGTTCTGTGAGTGAACTTCGAGTTTTTATGATGTGTACTCCTGGCTTTTTAAAAACAAGTTCCTGCATTCCAAGTCTATTGATTTAAAACACATTTTTAAACAAAGTAAATTACCTGAAGAGCTTTAATGTGTTTACTTCTCATTTCAATCATCCATTTCAGCCTTTGGATTTTGTGAGTACAAAGAGCCAGATTCTACCCTACGAGCACTGAGACTACTCCATGACCTCCAGATTGGAGAGAAGAAGCTGCTGGTCAAAGTTGATGCAAAGACAAAGGCTCAGCTAGATGAATGGAAAGCAAAGAAAAAGGCATCTAATGGGGTATGTATATAATGTGTGATTTGCATTCTTGTAGTAGAATGTCAGTGTAACATTACTTTCTAGATCAGATTGTGAGCATGTCTCAGTTTCTACTTCTTTCTGTGTCTTTTATTCATTTTAGGATGTTGCCAGAATCACGTTAGCGAGTCTGAAGTTATGTTGAAAGGCAGAGAAGTGTCAGCTCTTAATTCCATAGTGTGTGAATTTACCTGCAAACTACATTTCTAGAATCAGTTCTGTAATTCATTATAAAGTGTAGTAATAGGTGCTATATGTTTTGATTCTGTTGCTTCATTTTTGTTTAGAAACTCTTGAAAGTGCTTAAAGTGCTTTCTAAGCCCTAGAAAAAGTTACTCTGTCAATCTGTAAATTTGCTGTCTGAGGGGAATTGAGGTTTCTTTCCCCTCCACTGATGATCTTTTGGAACAAAGAAAAGAAAAGGAAGGAAGTAGATGATTAAGTAGAAGAGACAGATATCAGGCAGTGGACTGCTTTCAAACATTTAGTGGAGGGGAAAATTGCTTTTGTACTATCCCTTTCTAAAGCTAAGGATCTGTTCTGAAATAATTGCAGATATTTGCTATGTTGAATTCTTATTGAGATGCAAACATACTTAATTGACAAGTTTGCATTGAAGGTAATGGTGTCTGTTTCTTTGCTGAAAGAAACCTTTGCTGTGTTTCAACCCAAATCAAGTCAGACTTTGTCTCTAACTCCTAAAGTTTTGTATGTGCTTTAAGATATCACTTAAAACCAATTTTTTTCTGTAAAATCAAAGTGAGAAGAGGCTCTAGTTTAGAAAACTAAAAATTCTGATCACACTGTAGCAAGTAAATGTTAAAAATTTCAGTTTGGAATTTTTCTTAAATGTATGTAGAATATAGTGGAAACACAGTTACTTTTATTTCATTTTCCCTAATCAGAAGTAGAAGCATAATGATGACTTGAAGTTCTTGACGTATTTTTGTGTGGATAACCTGTGTTTGGGATGAAATCCAATGGCTTAGTAAAGCAGAGTGCTAACTTTGTGAGGTTTGAATGGAGTATTGTATGAGCTCTTAACCTAGGTAAGGGCTTGATTGGATTGCCCTTTCATTCTATACTTCCTTGTTTCTTGTTGACATCACCTGTGATACTGTGTTTCACAGCTGATGTTACAAACAAGCTTAAACTATTTGTGGAGTTCTTGTACGTCTCCCACGAATTTTGTTTCCTGTGAGTTACAGTCAGTCTGGGGGTATTGATGGTAATACAGCATTGAGTACTGTTTGTGGCTTTGGTGAAGGCAACTCTATGAGAATGAGATTAACTCCATGTTTTTTGTTGGGTTTTATTGGATTGGGCTGGTTATTCACTCTTTTTTGTGCTGATGCAAAGAAAGGCTGTGAATTGCTGAGGAGTATTGATGAAGTGCATTGTAATCAAACTGCTTGCAATTCCTTTCATACCATCGTTGGTGTGCTGGTGCCACTTGGATCCAAAAGTTTCAAATTTTCTCAAATATTTGAACTAAGAAATCAAACATACAAACTACAATATGATTTCATACAGAGACACACCAAGCAAACCTTTATCTTATTAGCTGCTCTCCCTGATCACTTCTTCTCCCGGGATCTCTTCAATTCCACCCCTGTCACCACCTTTCAGCCTGCTCCTCCTTGGCCTGGCAGCTTCTTCAGCTCCAACTGAATCCTCCCTTCCCCCTCATTCTTAGCTGCTGCTCCATCAGACCCTTCCCTCCCCCTCACTCCACCCACCACCTATCGTTTGACGGGATACCCAGCTGGATTCTCAGGTGAGATTCCATTTTTCTAAAAGATTCAGGGGATCAAGAGGTGGGCTACCTTGCTTGGTGTGCACATCATCTTACTATGGTTTCATGTAATATTTAGGGAAATGCACTTCTTTGTGTTCCTTTTCCTCTATACAAGGTTGAAAGGGGCAAAAAGATGAGGAACTGCAAAATACTTGATCGATAATAATTTTAAAAATAGTTTTGTTGTGCAAGGAATGTTTTCCCTAATGATGTTTCTTTAATATAGTTCTCCAATTTGAAGTTGCAGCTTGGAAGTTTTAGGTAGGCATTTGTATTGCATGGCATTTAAGTAGAAGGCTTGGAGGAACTGCTGTTGAAGTGACTTGAAGTTCTGGAACATAAAAGGCAAAACTTTTGTCCAAGAGCTGCACTATAGTGATTGCCTTTCTGGGAGCGTGTGGATGCTCTCTCTTTTCCTGTCTACTGCCTTAATGACCATTTTTCTGTTCTATTTTAGTATGTTATTTTATTATACAATTCCACACTTGCTCTCTGCAGCCATTCCATAAAACTGTGCAATAAACTGTGGTATTGCCAGTGTGAAAAGACCTGACTAATACAGTGCAATTGATAAAATTACTTGTATTTGTAGGTGGTTTGGTTTTCATGTGGTGAGTTGTTTGGTTTTTTTTGTATTTTCTGTCTTTTTTGGGTTTTTTTTAATTTTGTTTGTTTGTTTGGGGCTAGTCAGTTATAGACACCATCCTTTCAGGATGGTTTAGGGATTTAAGCACATAAACTTTCTGGAACAACAGGTTTGAATCTGGGCAGGACTGAACTGACCTTTCATCCCTCTGAAGGTGGAAATACTGAATTTAGTGCAGTTTAATCTGTATGTGCATATAGGGTTTTTCAGATAAGATCTTTAAAAAACAACTGTAAAGAGTTCCTGCATACCATCCACTTCCAGTGAAAGATGCCAGGGTGCTATTGTAATGCCATGAATTTGGTAGTTTTTGACAAAATACTTCTCTCTGCTTCTAGAATGCATTCTTGTAGTGTGCCTTGATCCAAATGGTTGCAGCTCTCTACCCGTATGTGGAAGCACTTCATTAGTTCTGTATGTCCTTGAAGGGATCCTTCGGGGATGAAAGGCACGTTGTAATCTTCCTGCCTTACAAAATCACTTTTAAACACGTCTCAATTTGGCTGGATTTGGTCAGCCAGCTTTCCTGTCTTGTGCAATGTGAAAAAAATCATGTTAAGCAGGAATGAATGTTCTGGTTTAGACCTGCTTCTGTGAATGACCTTTTTATGGATTAAAACAAAATGGAGAAGGGGGAACAAGGATAAGCAAACTCAGACTTAGCTTTTCCAGCAAAGTTCCTAACCATGGGAAAATGGGCTTTCCCACCTACCATTCTGCACCTTATATGAAAGAGAATTGGAAAGAGATGAAAGAGATTGGAAAATTGTTTGACAAAGATTTTTACCCACTTAAGTCTTCTGCAAAGTACATATTCCAAGGCAATGATGCAGCTTGTGGAGTTTAAATGTGGTGCAAGAAACATCTCCCTCAGGGAGCAAGTCTATCTTCCCACAATGTTGTTAGTCATGGCCAACATGAGGTATAAAAGTGCTGAGCTGAGAATTTGTTTTTCTTTCTTCTCCCTCCCTTTGGGAGAAGATGTTTTCTTTGATGACAATTTGCCAATGAGTCACTGTCTAATGCTATCAGCTGTATTTTTTTGTTACAAGCACTGTTACAATGTGTATTGTCCTGTGGGTAAATATACATTTATATGGCTATGAATAATGCTAGGTAGTTAAACACTATAAGAGACCTTTGCAGTCATGAAAAGCTGGGTGCTGTAACAGAGCAATATTCTCTTAGCTCTGTGTTGTGTAGAACTTTACTGATCTGAGCCAGTCAAGTAGCCAAATGAGCTCTTTTAAAATACACAGCATTTGTGGGTTGAAATTGCACCCCATCATCCTTTCTATACTGGGAAGGAAGACAAGAAACTTGGAAGTTGCCATCTTTGGCCTGTGTGGATAGAGGTGGGAGTGAAGAGATGGTACTAGCTTCTTGTTCTCTTGTCCATAAAGGAGAGGGGAGAGAAAGACTGTTGAGGCTGGGGGGGAATGGGAAGGTGGATGCAGATATATTGTGGGGGCGGTGAGGGAGGTGTGGAAACTCACCAGCTTTGGGGCTGTTGTCCCCTGAAGGGCCTGGTGTGGAGATGACTCCTGCTGGTGTTAGCAGCAGAGGCTGTTAGTTCTGGGTGAAGGCATGACTGCTGTGGGGGAGTTGAAAATGTGTGCGGGGAGCTGAGAGTGAGTGGAATCTGGTTTTCAATTTCAAGCACGGGGGAACCTCGCTAATTCGCACTAACTACAAGAGCAGGTGCAATCTACCAAATTCTGCGAATTAGCGAGTAAATAAGATCAAGACATACCCACTGCAAATATACTTATTTATTTTGACAAGCGTAGCTTAGCCTTGTTTCTGATGCTACCATAGCGTACTAATATCCTGTAGTACACTTGTAATTCAGTGAAGTCTTACTAACATGAGGCGTCACTATGTGGTTTTAAGTAGTTCAGCAAAGGGAGAATTAGCGAGGTTCTTCTGTAACTTTGTTGAATCAAAGAAATGAGATCACAGCAATACAATATTGCTTTGTAGTACAAACATACAAAACATTGTTTTTCAGAGTAGTGTGCAATCAATTTTTAAAAAAAAAAATCTCCGTGGATTTTTCCGCAGATTTTCCGCAGATTTCCAGTGGCCCCACTGATACCTTATCCACTCATCACCAAGGTTCGTTTACATTGTAGGCTTTGACAATGACTATGTTTACTGCTAGTTGCCAGATTTGTGACTCTTGTCCATCTGATTTTTTTTTTTTCCACTCATTAACATCAGACTGTCAGGTTTGGTACTGCAGAAGGACTTTATTTATCTCTTGCAAGACTGGTTGAAAACTTCTAACCTTCAGCTTTTCTCTTGTTCTCCTTTGTCTGTACAGATGGCTGTTAATGCTTTTACTCCTGTCCCCCTTGTTTTTTAGGAGGATATAAATGCTATAGAAATGGAGGAAGACAAAAGAGACCTGATATCAAGAGAGATCAGTAAATTCAGAGACACACACAAGGTAGTATTCTTGTTTTTGCACTTGATACAAATTAGGCTTTTTCAAATCCAAAAAAAAACACTATTATAAAATTTAGCAGTACATTGCAGTATCACTTAAAATTATGTTTTTATTAGGTTTAATATACATGTAGTTCTTTACAAGTCAGAAAAAGACAGTTGCCACGTTAAAGTGGCCCGTGACATCTTTATGCTAAGACTTTGATTGCTACTGAGTATTTTTCAGTCTTCTCACTTCAGCATGAATAAAGGCAGCTTAAGTTGCTACACATACATTAAGTCAAGATATTTATAAGTGAAAGCTAAATGGGGCTGCAGTATAAGACATACACTTGAGTGTGTTTCTCTAGGTAGATTTGTAACATTATCCAAGATTTTTGAAGAGATGAAACGTGAATTAAATTAAAGTCTTTTATTTTAATAGTTCTAAGTTAAGAGTGGGGGAAGATTAAAACTAGGTCAGTGGTTACCAGACTTACCAAACTTTAGATGCATGGAAGAACTGTAAATTCCCATAAAGCTAATCTATTCATTGACCCCCACCATTATGATAGAGATCATATGGTGACTAATGCAAGATGAAACTCACAGCTTGGAAAGTAACATGGAATAGGATGTAAGTATGAGTTTCTGTTTTTTATTATACTTATGGATGCCCCCTCAGAAAAATATGCAAAGGGGTAACTGGCTTGGAAATGTTTGTGCACATCAAGTCCCACCCCAGGGTCCCCACTTACAGAAGTTTCCACTAATGCTAGTGCAAATGTGAATGTTTCTGCTGTGATACTTGCGGATCGGAGAGCACAGCTATGCATGTGATGTTCTTATTTTAATGTTTAGCCTTAAAGTCGGTATTAATTTTTCCCCCACAAGATTGGAGTGATCCTTGGCCTAGGAAAGTATCAACAAGCTGCTCTTCTGAGCACACACTTTTCTTTCAAAATACCCCCAAATCAGCATTAAAGAAAATGTTGAAGATACAGCAAGGTGAATGCTTGCCCATGTTGTTCAGCTCTACCACATGCAGTCACTGGGGATGGTACCATGTTTTCGTGCAACCATATCAGTATGAACACAGGTGACTACATGTTATTGTATGTACATGTTTTCAGTTTTTCTCTTGACTAAAGTTTTGCAAGATAGAAACCTGGGGGGAAAAAAATCTAGAAAAAGTCAACTGAAGAAGCTCAGCAATTGAATGTGAAACTGTTTAGTGGTGAAACTTCAGTAGAATTACGTTCAATTCCAAGCCCCAAGTTGTCACTGATACTAAAATGCAAACGAGTAATACTTTTTTTTAAATTGCAAACAAAACAAACAAAAAACCAGGCTTCACTGTTTCAGAAGCTGTTGGGCATTTTGCTGCCCTTGATTTGTATTTTTGGGGGGCTGTTTTGGATTTCTTAACATTAAAAATCAACTGGAAGTAGTCATTGTGTATATTGGATATGTTTAAAAGGGGCTGTTGAATCCTTAGCAGCGGGCTAGTGAGCACAGTGAACCTTTGCATGTTTTTGGTATGAGTTTATAAACAATAACGACAGACTGTCAGGGTATCAGCATTGCAGGGGGCGTCCATTTACAGCACGGACGAGTCTGAAGAGAGCTCAAGGTAAGATTTATAATTCTTCTACCTGTTCATTTCTGTTCATTACTTCAGTTTATCTGATACTGTTCCCATCCCATTACCCTGTCAGATCCTTTTATTTAGGTTTACAGAAGTTGACTGAGGTCAGATTTTGATTACAAAATATACCAGTTTATTTTTTCAATTGGACTTTAAGGAAGTGGACTTAAGAAAAGGATTTTAATATACCAAAACTTGTGTGTGTGTGTATGTACACCTCTGTGAATATATTTTTAATAAAAGAAAGAAACTCACTCTCTTGAGAACTCTCACCATAAACAAAGTTTTTGAGAGTGGTGAAAAAGCAAGAGTTCAACTAAAGAAATTTCTATTGGAACATCTAAGATAACCTGTAAGTATCAACCACTTCAGTATGTAAACTTTCTTTAAAAGTATATGAAATTTGAGGTAAGTTGTTTTTAAAAGTTGACAACCTAGTTTAAAATTTGACCCTACTGAGGTTTAACACTGTAAAGCTCCTGGATAATACAGTCCTTAGAAATTAGTTTTACAGCCCAGTGTGTATTATAGGATCTAAGTTTTATTTTTTTCACATCAGTTTTCTACCAATTCCTACCATTTTTAGTCCCTTTTTCCTTTGTGATTTCAATGTATCCAACATGGGTTTGCCTGTATTGTGTTATCAATGCAGCATAGTTTCACTGGATACATTAATCACTAGTGAATTAGCTTTATTTCTGTAATCCTTTGTCGGTTCTCTGGTCCCTGTGCCTATGGCAGAAGAACACTAATCAGGTAAGATTGCTTTTTAAAGTTGTCTTAAATGCTTTGTTTAAAAGAAAAGAACAAAAAAAAAACACAAACCAGAGAAAATGCTGTTTCATTGTTCCAGTTTTTAATTTCATTTCAGTGATGGTAAACGTGGAGCCAAAGGGGATAAACCTGTTCATTCTGCTCAATATTTGTTCAAAAAGTGGTATTCTTGCATCCATCAGGTTGAAATTTGGTATATTTGGTTGTTATTTGGTATATTTGTGAACCGTGTACTTGCTCTTCCTCCCAGAAACATAGCTAATAGGCAAGGTTAATCCAGTGTTGGCGGTCCATGTCCTAGCACAGCATCTGTAAGTGAACACATAACAATTGCTTCCAAGGATGGATTTATCTATCATTCTGTTGATGTATTTTCTATTGTCTTATAGGAATTCTGGTCATAAGAACTGTTTCTATATGAAAAAAGGGGCAATTTTGTACAATTTTTAGTAAAACTGTAGCAGGTAACCTTTAGTTTCTGTGTTTCAAAAGAGCTATTTCCAACCTTTTTTTAACTGTCTCCATCTTGCAGTGGTGGAAGTTAAGATTCCATTCTGCAGAGTCCAGTTCTTACCAATGAACACTTAGAACTTTTTTAGGGAGAGAAAAGGGAAAAAGTGACAGTTTTCTTCACTGTTTAACCACATGCACCATGTGTAAGTGGATATATTTCTCTACCCAAGTTTTCATCTAGGATGGTTTTGGTGTGCCAAGACTTTTTGGGAAACAACTCACTGTCCCAGTAAGCATTACACTGAAATATATTTTCCTAATTGAACGGAGTTAATTTTGTCAGCTGGAAGTTCACTTTACTTGTACCCACCTGGCTTACAGGGCCAGTGGAATTTGAGTCCCACCTGAGTCATGACTGGTAGTGCACACTGAGTGTGCAGTTTAGTCAGCTCATAATACCAGGCCAGCCCTACTCTGCTAAGGTTGGAGATTGCTGGTCTGTGTAGATTTGTGCTTTTGCACGAAATTTAGTCTTGTGATTGCTGCATTTTGATTTCATACTTCCGAGTTCCAAAAAATACCCACCAAACCCTATTTAATATTTTAAAATTAGTGGCGGTTTTGGTATTTCCATTACCAGCCTTGTGTGTTGCGTCGGGAATATCCAGTTTGTGTAACTACAAAATTAACTATGAAAGTTCTCTTGTTGGTTTTTAGAAACTGGAGGAGGAAAAAGGCAAAAAGGAGAAAGAAAGACAGGAAATTGAAAAAGAACGCAGAGAAAGAGAAAGGGAACGGGAACGTGAACGAGAAAGGAGGGAGCGTGAAAGAGAGAGGGAACGTGAACGAGAGAAGGAGAAGGAACGGGAGCGTGAACGGGAGCGAGATAGGGACCGTGACCGAACTAAGGACCGAGACAGAGACCGCGAGCGAGACAGAGACCGTGACAGAGATCGTGAAAGGAGTTCAGATCGCAAGGATCGGAGCAGATCAAGGTAAATGTACTTCAGCTGCTATTTATTTCACTTTTTCTTAGTGCTGTGTACTAAATGCATATAGTTCAGTAGATCAGCTGCCATTCAAAAGAGAATGATCCTTGTGGAAGATCAGAGTAACAGCAGGAAATCCAGACTGGGAGAGGACTTGATTTCCCCCACAGCACAAGAATATAAAAACTGCAATATGCAGTAAGCAACTCTCCAAATATGATATAAGCATACTGGTTTTATCTTAGATATCTCCTATTTTTCATTATTAGCTTTATTCCTGCTTAAGGTTATCTTATGTTTGTGGTATTTCTTGGCTTAAGCAGGTTTTATAATTTCCTTTGTTACATAGTGGGCTTCTTGGTTGGATTTTAGGGAGTTTTGTTTCAGTTGATTTGGTTTGGGTTTTTTGTTTGGATTGTGGATTTTTTTAGTAAAAGCAAGGGGATTACTCTTTCAAGCTGTAATTAATCATATCATATTCCAAGTGCTGCTTCCACATGAAATCATGTTGTCAGAAGTGTTAAAATTGTCTGTAAGCTGCATGAACACAAAAGATTTGTTAAGGATACCCTTTATTTCTGGTGATTTTGGCTGTGCAGAACTGCTAACTCAGTCTTGTAAGAAATTGCCCTATGCTCATACTTCGTTTCTGTAGGTATTCTTTAAGAGAAATTTTTATTTTTATTAAATATTGCTATTTAATGGTTAGTGTTCCAACAATGACTTTTAGTGGATTTTGGAGTACCTATCAGTAAGTATTGATTTTTTGCCCATTTCTGTACCAGCTTATCATCTTCTACAACTGCAGAAGAAAAATAACCTCTAAGATGCTATTAATCCTTTGGTTGAATGGGGAGGAAGGTTCTCTACTGAACTTTGGGGTTTTTTCTTCCTTCAGAGAAAAAAGCAGAGACAGGGAAAGAGAGCGAGAACGCGAGAGGGAAAGAGAACGAGAACGCGAGAGGGAACGGGAAAGAGAACGGGAACGGGAGAGAGAACGGGAGAGAGAGCGGGAAAAAGATAAGAAGAGAGACCGAGAAGAAGATGAAGAAGATGCCTACGAACGACGAAAACTGGAGAGGAAACTGCGTGAAAAGGAAGCTGCATATCAAGAGGTAGGTTGGAATTTTTAAGATTCTTTAAATAAAAAAAAAAAATCTGAGAGTTGATAACAAGTCCTCCAGTATAAAATACATCATTCTCCTTTTCCTAAATATGTTTTTTATCTTTTGAGAACGTGAGCTGGAACAGAATCTGTTAGTCACTGTCAAGCAGACTTTTTATTAATTTTTAATTAAAATGATGCAAATTATTTATAGTATAGTTATTTTAAACAACAATTCAAACTAACTTTGAAGTAGTACTGCTGTTCTTAATGTTCTTGAAGATGGAAGTGTATTTTCTTCTGTTGCAGCGTCTTAAAAACTGGGAAATCAGAGAACGAAAAAAAAGTCGAGAATATGAAAAAGAGGCTGAGAGGGAAGAAGAAAGAAGACGGGAAATGGTAAGGCTTATAGTTTGACATGTAATTTGCCCTGCCTTGTTCTCTTGGTCCCATTTAGAATGGAATATTCTACTGTTACGTTTATGGGAAGTAATAGAGCTCTCATTTTGTATAAAGGCCGTGTGTGTTGTTCATACCAAAAAATCCCCAGTTAATAGACTTGAAACAGAAGATGTCTAGTAAGTGGAAGTACTATTTAAAGTCTGAAAAACAAAGCCTAGTGGTTTGGTCTTATGAAGGCAGAAGAGTGAGAAGTAAGCAGCTGCAAAATACTGTGGTCTGATCATCATGTACTGTTATATCTGTAACTTGTGTCAGACTTGTGACAAAACCTACTGTGTGTTCTATGTCATTCAGGTAGAACTAGACCTGTTTTTTTAACTTCCAACCTGCTCATGTGCCCAAACCTTTTACGAGATACATTAAAGAATATTGCATCGTATCTATGCACTTGATAAATGCCTGTCCTTAGTTCATTAGTTGTGAAATTATCACAGTTACCAATGTAACACTTGGAAGCTTTGTTGGAAGAGACACCTTTGGAAGATAGATAATTCTGTAATCTCATCGTTTTGTGCTAAAGCATAAAGAAAGTATTTTAAGTTTTAGGGGTGTTATTTCACTTCATAGATTCCTAGAGAAGGGGAGAAGATGTTGAGAGAGTAGAGAATGGGTTAGAAATTGCTTCAAAGCCATATATGCAAAGAAACACACAGGGGAAAGAGAATTATAAAATACATTGTTTCATTTGGAATCCAGGTTTTCCCTCTAAATGCATGGGGAGGGGGGAAAAATGTACTCAGTGATATTTTCCATTCCAAATCCTCCTGCGTGCTGGCTGTGGATGGCATTTGTAGAAAACTTTGTTTCATTTTGTGCTGAAATTACAACCATAATCATAATTTGTTTCTCAAAGTCATTAGCACAGAAATATATTGTTGTTGGTTTAAGGATATTGCTTAAATACAGGTTAGAAGGTCCTAATTCAATTTCTCTTAAAGAACTGGGTGTTTTGCCTCTTTTATCAGAGGGGGAGAAAGTGTCTCCTCTCTTTCTCCCTCGCCCCTTACAGTGTTAGGCCTGCACATTAATACCACATAAGCCTGTACATTAGTGCCACATGGTTGTTTCAGTACCACAACAGGAGGGTGCTTATCCTAGGAGCAGCTATCAGGTTTGTTTCTGTGCATGACTGTCTTAAAAAAGCCCTTGAAACAAAGCAGTACTGATAAAATACACTTAGGCTACCATGTTAAAATACTCAGTAGCAGACTTAAAGGATTTGGAGAAAAGAAACTTTTGATCCTCTTTATCTGTAATGTAAAAAAAAAAAATAATAAAAAAAAAATATATATATATATGTGTGTGTGTGCAAATCAGTGACACAAAATCAATGGACTCTCTGGATGCAATACCAAAACTTTTCCATTTTCTCTTTGGAAAACGCTGTATTTTTAGTTTAAAGCAGAGCAGATCTACAAATAACTTGCTAATAACATTAATAAATTTTAAACTCCTGGAAAGGAAACCAGAAATCATTACGTTTCAATTCCTTGCAGGCAAAAGAAGCCAAACGGTTGAAAGAATTCTTAGAAGATTATGATGATGACAGAGATGATCCAAAATACTACAGGTATGTCTTTGTATTCCTAACAAAAAAATGTCCATTGGTAATTTAAACACAGCTGTGGGGTTTGTTGGCAGGGGCTTGTGGAGTTTATATTTGACTGGTAATGTGGCAATGTAAGGTTAATGTGGCAATAATTACCTAACTTTTTTTTTGGTGTCACTTCATAAGTGACAGAGTGAAAAAGGAAGCTCCTTACTTCTACTGGTTAATGCTTGGGTGTAGGTGTCATTCCTATCACTTTATATTTGTGAGGCGGGGCAGAGGTCAGTGTAATGTCAAAATAAGGTGCTGGGAGAAGGGAACAAGCATGCCTCTAAATAATTCACTGCAAAGAAGCTGTAAATAATATGAAGAACAAGCTTGTTAATGTAAATGATTGGGAACATCCTTCAGCGTGGGACTAACTAACATTTGTATAAAACTAATTTAGCAGAAGTGGTTCTGGCCAAAAACCTATAAAACTTAATTATTTCTCTAAAGAGATCAGCAGCCACATGCTCTACTTTTGTTTAATGTGGTGGGGTAGATTCTGTACAGTAAGGTTGAGAACTGGTATCTTAAGATTCTAATGTTACAAAAACAGAGGATGCCACGTGCTCTTAGAATCTTATTTTCATTTAGTGGAGGATGCATCTGCATTAAATTTTTCTTGTATTGTGGTACAAGCCCCTCATTGAAATGGTGTCTCAATAAAAAATATGTATCTTTTATAGGGGTAGTGCTCTTCAGAAGAGGCTGAGAGACAGGGAGAAGGAGATGGAAGCAGATGAACGAGATAGGAAAAGGGAAAAGGAAGAATTAGAAGAAATTAGGCAGCGTCTTCTTGCTGAAGGACATCCAGATCCAGATGCAGAACTCCAGAGGGTGAGTTGCTGTTGGTGTGACAGGAAAATGAATCCTTTGTATTCTGGTTGTATTGAGCAAAACTGTGTAAGATACCTGATATTTATTATTATCTCTATTTGCTTTTTCTTATAAAGAAGTCCAGATAGGCAGTAGGAACAGTGAAAACAAAAAGACTTTCCAGATCAACATCCAGATTTGATGGGGTTTGAAAACAAATTTGAATTGGATTCCTTACAAGAATGCTAGTAGTTATGTGTCTTTTTCTTGACTAACAGCCTTCTAAAGATTTAGATTATTTTCAAACAGTACTGGTTTTGAGAGAGCTTCTGTTTTTGCTAATTGTCTATTTCATTGTAGATGGAACAGGAGGCTGAGCGACGAAGGCAGCCACAAATAAAACAAGAGCCAGAATCTGAGGAGGAAGAGGAAGACAAGGCAGAAAAAGAAGAAAAAAGAGAAGAGCCAGAGGAAGAAGAGGAGGAGCCTGAACAAAAGCCCTGCCTTAAACCAACTTTACGACCCATCAGTTCTGCTCCATCTGTTTCTTCAGCTAGTGGAAATGCAACTCCTAACACACCTGGTGATGAATCTCCCTGTGGCATCATTATCCCTCATGAAAATTCACCTGAACAACAGCAACTGGAGGAGCATCGGCCCAAAATTGGACTCAGCCTCAAATTGGGCAAGTTTAAGTTTTATTTCAATCTTCCATATGGGATCAAAATAAAAATTGTCAAGCTGAGTAGCCACATGGTTTTCCAAATATGTCGTATGGTTTAATGTGTTTATATCAAGTAGATGTTATCCAGCTGCTGTGCTTGAGTTGGCCTATCCAGAAGATAGCCATGTTACAAAAGTTAGATAGGGCTAACTTTTGTAGGAATGTTCTGAGCTGGAATTGGTTATTTTCACATGCTTTTTCACCTTAATATATCTGTAAATATCTCTTTGAAACTCATTGCTACTTTTCATTGGTGTAACTATATGTTAAATTTAAGACCTAGGTAGTTCTTATGTTTACTTAAGACCCTTTTAAAGAAAAAAGAAAATTAGATTTTTTTTTCTTCCTTCTAGAATATAACAATAAACTGAGGATAGTTGTGAGTGAAATTTGAGCCTAGAGTTCCTTAATACTGTAGCAATTTCATGCTGTTTTAAAAAAATTATTTCTGACCAGCAGAACTAAGAACATTTGTATTTCTGAAGGTTTGTGTGTTTATTATTTACTATTTTGACTAAATTATGCCAGGCTGCACTTTAAGCTCACACTGTGTTACATCTTGAATGACAAGAGACTGTATGGTATTAGGCTGATGAACGCTTTTCTTACGCATTGCAGCCTTTCAGTCTGTGCTCAGCCTTTGCTGAGGTTGGGGCTTGATATAGTCTTCCCTCAGAGAGTGCTAATTGGTTTCAGGGCAGAGAAAGAAGACCATGTTTTTCAGATGGGTCAGTCTGAACACACTCCATTTAAGATTTTTACCTCTTTTGCCACTTCTGTAACAGAGTTTGAGAGATTAAAAGCCAATGACAGGCATTCATAGAATTTTATGTAGCATACAGAGCAATATTCTTCAAGTAATGGGGGAAGAGCAAACTAGTTCCAGTTGCAGTTGATAAATATGTTACTCTGCCTTTTGGGTTGTAGGTGCCTGCAACAGTCCTAATCAGCCCAATGCTGTAAAAAGGAAGAAGCTTGCTGTGGATAGTGTTTTCAATAAATTTGATGATGAAGACAGTGACGATGTGCCCCGGAAAAGGAAACTTGTTCCCCTGGATTATGGAGAAGAAGATAAAAGCAATATCAAAGGCAGTGTCAATACAGAAGAAAAGCGCAAGCACATTAAGAGTCTCATTGAGAAGATACCCACAGCAAAACCAGAGCTCTTTGCTTATCCTCTTGACTGGTCAATTGTGGATTCAGTAAGTTGATTCATTTAACCATTTTTAAAAAGGCTTAATTTTTCCAAGTAAACATCATAGTTGAATAGAAAAGCAAGATTACTGGGACCCCAGTGGATTGGAGTATCATCATCAAGTGGAGTCAAACTTGAGTCCTCTCCTTATTGTTCAGACATAATCCTTATTCTGAAGTATGGCTGCTTATTTTTGTTTGGTTTCTCTCAAATTGCCGTTACAAATTATCAAGCAATTTTATGGAAAGAGGAAAAAAGACTGTAAAATGTTTGAGTGGCTCGCAGAAATACTTGCAGATGCCAAATCTCTTAAGGGTTATATCATTGGTAGCAAAACGTATCTTCTGTTAAATAGCTGTTTGAGTCTTCTAGATGCTTATTGGGCAGTTGTTGCAACAGAGTGAAGCTTAAGGTAATTATTAATTCTGGTTTTGTGTTTTTTTTCCAGACGCTAATGGAACGTCGAATTAGACCATGGATTAACAAGAAAATAATAGAATATATTGGTGAAGAAGAAGCCACACTAGTTGACTTTGTTTGCTCTAAGGTTTGTATCTTCTGCATTCTCTGAAGTTAGAGCTTTGCTCCCTACTTAAAATGCAACAGTGACTCCTGTACTTGTGTTTATAATGGCTTGTCTTGGTTTATCTTGGGACTGCCCTTTGAGAGCTAAAGCAAGTCCTGAGAATACTGTGACACAGTTGATTAGCACACATTCAAAAGCAGAAGTTGAATATTTGCCATGCTTACATTATATATGGGTGTGTGTATATATGTAAATAAATGGAACTCTGGTATTGAAAGACAACTTACTTGGTTCTGGAAAAAAAAACAACTTAACAGGTACATGAGAAATCCAATTAGGAGGAGTGATACAGGGGAGAATTTTGCCTTTGTATTCCATTAGCAGCTTATTGTTGAAGGAAGAGAAGCTTTTTCTTTAAATTAAGGAAACACAATTGGAGATACAAGAATAGCCAGCAAATACAGGACAGACATGTGAATCTCTGGAGCTTCCTGGAACTTGTTCCTCAGTAGTTTGCCATAAAGTAGGACTCACTATGATGGATTTTGATGCAGTTCAATACTAATTTTTGCCATGGCTATTACTGGAACCTGATGAACTGCAAATACTTTTTGCATGTGTAGAGCTTTCCGAATTCCTTGGACATAGCTGGATTTTGTCAAAAAATGTATATAGGGTTTATTCTAAGTTTTCAGTCTAAAAACATTTGTTTCTTCCAGGTTATGGCTCATAGCTCACCTCAGAGCATACTGGATGATGTTGCCATGGTAAGCAGAAATTCTGTAACTTATATACCTTCTACATTTTACTGAAGCTAAAAGTCAATTATGCAAAATAGCAAGACTCCGTAACAGAAAACATGTGTTAGAAATGATTAAGCACATCATGCTAGCACAGGTATTATTTTGCCGTTACAGCACCTAGGTACAAATTACTGACCCCTCTTCAGAACTTCTGAGTACTCAGAAATGGGGAACAAAAATTTTTGTCCCTAACAGTAGATGTCAAAATCAACAATAACAGAACTGTATCAGAAATAAAATATTTTATTCCTTCTTGTTCTTACGAGTAGATTTTTATTAGTGGTTTAGTGGATCTTTTCCTAATTAATGAGCAAAAGGTGTTTTTCCGTAGAAAAGTAAAAGCTCTTTTTTGCCTGGTGTTGGAAGAGAGAAACAGAGTGAAATGATGCTACTGTTCCACCATGTTTTCATACACCGAAAGGTGAATAAAAACTAATCCACTCTCTTCCTTTAAGGAAGCTTGGAGGCAAAGTTGATAGAAGCCACGTGCATAGTGCAAGATAGTAGAATGTTTTTGGTGTGACTTTGGAGAGATGCTGTGCATGCTAAAAGTTTGTACAGATTCAAGAAAAGCCTAGATAATAAGTTCAGGGAAGAGAAATCCAGTGAGGGTTTATTTAACAAATATCCAAGGAAGTTCCAAATGAAAATGAGCAGAGATTAGGAGTTAATTTAAGGGAAGATAACCACGTGTGCATATCCTGTTCTTAAATTGTTTCCAAGCCTGCCATTTCTCTGCCTCTTCCCAAACCACTTTTGGATACTAGTTTACTGATGCTTCTACCTTTAAGTGCTCAACAGCTGCACTATACAAGTAGGTAGTTAGAGCTTGGTCAAGTCACTGTTGCTGGACAGACAAACTTGCCAGAGTTTCATTTGGTCCTTCTCTCAAGGACTTGTATTACACTGTATCTATTTCTTCTGATGTATCTACAATTAGTCTTTATAACTGGAATGCATAACCTAAAAAATAATCTATAAAATGTGTATTTCCTACAGGTACTAGATGAAGAAGCTGAAGTATTCATAGTCAAAATGTGGAGGTTGTTGATATACGAGACAGAAGCAAAGAAGATTGGCCTAGTGAAATAAAGCACTCTCCTTGCTTCTAGGGTTCCATTTCAATTTTGGGCTTTTTTTCCCCCCCCCATTGTTCAGAGACTTTGAATTCTCTCTGTTCTCAGAGACTTGAGACCTGTATTTTTTTATGTAGAAAATGTGAATTTTTTTGTCCTCTGCTCTGAGGCCCCTTTTACCCCTCTCAGTTAGTTATCAAATCCTGCATTGGTTCTCTTTATAATACAGGAGGTACAATTACCGGTATGTTTTATAAGCTGCAGCTACTGTACATGCTCTTTGGTAATTTTGTTATGTTACTCAGATTCTTGTAAATATTAAGAAAAAAAAATCCCTTGTTTTGCAAAACATTTGCACTTAATGTGGAACTATACCAGTTACAGATGAAGACAAAGGATTTTACTGCAAGTTTATCAGTCTTTTTTTGGGAGCATACTTCCCCTTTTTTATTTAAGAAATGATGAAAATACAATTTAAAAATAAGCATCTTGAGCTGTTTTCACAGAACAGCTTTGTGTGTTCATTTGATCTCTTCATCTGACTGGAAAAGGAGTTCCTTCAGACTTCTCTTTCTAATGTGAACCAGTAGTAATCTTGGTACTTTGTTGCCCCTTAAGAGTTACTAATGAAGCTGGGAACCTAATCTCTTGTAGATGCTCTGCTTCTTTCCCAGAAAGTGCAAATCACAGGAAGCTTTTTATTTGCTCAGTTAAAACAAGAGCAGGACCTAAATTCAGTAAGTGCTATCTAATGGTTTTTGGTTTTTTCTTCTGCTCAATTTAATTCTAGCCCTGCCTGCTATCCCGTCTGTCTCCAAAATAATGAGATGGCTTTTTTAAGAAGAAACTATTTTTTAAAACTTTTTTTTAGTATTTAGACAAAGCAAAAAGCCCTGTTTGGATGTAACTGTCTCTTAAAAAAAAAAAAAAAAAAAAAGGAACAACCATGTAAACTAAAACATAAGTTGTCAAACAAAGCTGAAATCTTGTTTTTATCCATACTGTTAAACTAGCCGACTTTTGTTTTCTACTGTATGCAGTCTGTTGTCCACAAAAAGAGGGTAATATTTTCCTGCCTTGTTTGTATGTTTTTTTTATAAATAGACTGATATGGTATAAATGATGACATGTACTGTAAACTGCATTTTTTTTTATCTCATACCTGGGTAAGAAGTCGAATCTATAATGTGCTGTGAGCTGTTTTGATTGCAGGAGGACTGTGTTCCAGGGAGCAAACGGTCTCAAAGTTATTTTTAATTTTTGAAACAAATTTCTTAATATCAAACAAATTAAGTAAAGGTGTTCCAGTATCTCTGTATTGTATTTAACTGAAGGATACAGGTTGACCTGTTCAGAAAATATAACTGTGACCTTGAGTTACTAGTTGTCTGTATCTGGAGAGGACACTTGAAAACACTGTTCTTAACAATTGGGATCGTGTATAGGTTCCACCATGTAAATATTTCAGATATTAAAAATGTATATATTTGATTCAAGGGTCAATATTCTTTTGGAGTCTTATGCAGCATGCAATTGTATTTAACACTGCTTACTGAATCAAGTGATCCCAAAGTAAGGGCTGGGAGTGGGGGGGAGTGTTTAAAACTACCTCCTGCTTATATCAGGTGACTAGAAGCCTGCAAATTTAGATGTGATCACAATATGTTCTTTCTCATCCCTGTGATACTACACTGCACATCACCAAATGTTCTTTTTTTAACTTGAAGTGTCATGCTTAGAGGTTACTTTCATGTTGTGCTCGAGTTTGCCTGAGAATGTTTTGGTTTGCATGCTTACGTGTTGCAATCTTTCTATTTTTTTTTTCTCTGCAACTTGATGGTTACAACCCTAAGAAATTACTTCTCTGTTCTCCCTATACAGTTCTGCATCACCATTTACCAAAATGTTTTCAAATTCTAAATAAATTCAAAGCTTGCTCTGTTTGTAGCAAATACAGAGAAGAGGGAGAGTGAACTTCACGAGTGCCTTTTGACCTGGTAAATTACATTCTCTCTCATTAGTAGTAGTTAAACAAGAAAAATGTGACAAACACATTGTAATGCCACTGTGTGACAGATTGCCCAACATCCTCATCCGGATTCTTCAGAGAAAGCTCAAGTTGTGAAACTTCAGTTTATTTCTGCCCTAAAGTAGAGCTGTGTGTGCAATGGACGTAAGCTTGTACTCCTGAGGAGATTGAAGGTGCTGGGATGAGAAAGACACATAAACTCTAAGCTGGAGTGTTAAATATCTAGGTAAATAAGTATAAAGAATTGTTGTGATAAAAAAAAAATCAGTTTTGTGGAAGTTCAGGTTTTTTTCAGTAGTGGAAGAAGAAAGGAATGTTCACTAGATGAACTCTGGTTTGGCTTATCAGCTTTTCCTCTTTCAGAATGCAAGTATAAAGTCACTTAACTTTTACCTCTTACTGAAAGTTTTGTTATTATGTCTCAGTGATATTGTATTTTGTGTTAGTGATGCTGGAGAGTATAACACAAATTATGTACTGCTGAGGTTCTTAGTAATAGAAAGTAACTTCAATTTGTTAACTTTCAACATGCACTAACATAATTATTTCAAGATAAATTTGAGAAATCTGGGGTAGAAAAAGCCTTTTTTGCCAGTATTACCAACTTCACTGTCTGGATGTATGATTTAATACACACTCTTTGTTATGTTAAACACAGATCAAGAGTGTGCTCAGATTGTGCTACATGAGTGAAGTACAGATGTTGCCACCAGGTACTCAGTGCATCATGCCATAGTAACCCATACTGTGAGGGAAAGTTACTCCAAAAGTTCCACACACTGTGTAATGAAAAAATACCAGTAATTACACAACAGAACTGGACGTACTTGTTTATCTGGACTTACAGTGGAATAAGGCTTTAAAACTTGACATAACACATGCTCTTTCTTATTCTCCTTATAATCATTTTGTGTAACTGCCATTCAGTGTTTGGAATATGTCAATACAAAATCTAAAGTATCATTTTTCTTCATTAATATGCACTGAAGAGAAATGGGAAACAAAGAGCAAGTAAGATCCATTACCAAGAAATACATATTTTTATATTATCTTTTAAGTTGGTGAGAGTCTTATTTTGTTCTTAGAGTATTTAACCTGCTCATCTGCTGATTTAACCTCCTAATCTTAGCTGTTTCCTTCATTCTCTTTAGGCAGGAACCTGTACTAAAAATAATGATAGCTAGATGGTCATGGCTCTGAATGTGGGCAGGGGAAAGGCCCTAAACAGTGAGTTTAGCTTCTTACTGAATTCCTGTGCCTTACTACTAATGCTTTCCTATTACTGAGAGGGAATTAGACCTTTCATGTTCTTACTAAACAGGGTTGCTAGATAGCTGCTTGAAGGAGTAGTATTTTGAAAAGCAGATACACTGAAAACTGCAAGCTCCTGGGTTTTATATTACAATTGAGTCACGCTTTTTCATATTCTGTACGTTATCTGGTGTAGGAACATTGAGTACAGAATTAAAAATTAGTACACAGTCATGCACTGTGAGCAGTATAAGGTATTGTTTAATAGACATTTCATCATAGATCAAACTGATACTAATAGTAGAAAAGAGTTTGGTACAGCTGTATGCCTGTGTTTGGTTGGTTGACTTTTTTGTTTGGCTGTTTCTCCCTTTTAAATTACAAGTAGTTTTATTTGATTAATGGTTAGACATCACTTTCAGTCTAAAAATGGCTTCTTAAATGCATTTCATATTTCTGTGAGCTACTGAAAGTCAGTATTTGCATAGCAATGCTTACATCAAACCTTTTAGGTGCAATAGTTCTGTCCCACTTAATTTTACCATAGATTTTCCTGTAGTGTAGTCAAATACTGGAATACAACATTGTTTTAAACAAGCAGAATTGCATGGCCCCTCAGATTTTACATTTTTTATATTAAGAGTGGTTATATCTATCATAGCATTTGCTATATGTTACTAACCCAATTGATTATGCACTTGAAAAGGAATTCTGGATGATACTTCAAATATGGATAGCAAGGTAAGTTTCAAATTTAGAATTAACTTTATTGTTTTTTCGACTAACCAGTCACAGGTCTACTTAGAGGCTTCTTGAAAAAATACCATGTTGACTTTTAATACGGTTTTTATTTTGAAATATAAATGTCCCTTTAAGTTACTTTCTTAATGCCTTTTTTTGGGATCATTTTAAAACAGGGTTACTGGCATATGTATAACTTGTATTCAAAAGAGCCGAGAAGTGTATTTTCTCATAAAACGTCTCTTTACCTGGCACTAGGTTAAAAAGGTCAAGCTGCATTTCCTTTGCACGATTCCTGGCGACTGGACTGAGCGACTGTTCATTGCTGTCCAGCCAGCCTCTCCCAAGCGCTGCCTTTCTTCAGTTCCCACCCGCGTGTCTTGGTTCCCGGCCCTTGCTGAGGGCAAAGCTCTCAGCGTGTTCTTTGCGGGGCGCTGCCCCGTGCGCCGGGCTCGCTGGGGCCGGCCGCAGCTCCCGCCCTGGGCCGCTGCGGCGGGGGCGCGGCG